ATGCAAGGAACAGGGCCTCGAGGTCGTCTGCTTCGAGGCAGAGCCGCATGTGGGTGGACTTTGGAGATACGTTCCATCAAAGGATCCGACTACCGGAGAGTCGGCTCATTCGTCGGTGTATCAGAGCGCCGTGATGAACTCTAGCAAAGAGTGAGTCAATGGCTTGACATTCAAATGCTAACGTTTTCTTTAGGATGGTGAGTGCATTAAGAATGATAAGGTGCTTATGCCCCCTTCACTTTCCTCCAGATGTCCTACTCCGACTTTCCAGTCCCGAAAGGTACACCCAATCCACCGAGGACGATCTAACCAACTTTTTTTCCGCAGAATGGCCCGCCTTCCTCCCCCACCGCTTCGTTGCCAAATACCTCAACATGTACGCCGATCACTTTAACCTCAGGAAGCACATCAAGTTCAACCGCAAGGTCGTATCCGTTTCTCCCGAAATCGGTCCCGATGGCGCCCACACTGGCCGTTGGGAGGTGGTTACCCAAAAATGCCGGCGCAGAAATGCCCCTACCAACTCGGTAACCCGTAACCTGTCTCCCAGCGTGCGCAGCCAGTCCCCCATCAGCAGCATCGACGCACAGCAGCGGAATATGTCGCCGGCAAGGTTCAACCGGGGACTTTCGCCCGCCAGGGGCCGATCGCCGGCGCCATACGACGACGAAAACAACCCACTGATGACCACGCCGCCGATCTATGGCTACGATGTGGTCCCATCATCGCCGGTCATGAAGGGAGTGCATCAGCCCATGGGAGCGCACCCGTCGTTGGATTCGGTCACCACGGTGCAGTTTACGCCCTCTTCCCCCGCGGGAACGGCTGATGCTATGGTGGGCGGTCTGATCGGTGCAGTGGGTCAGATACAGATCGTCAAGTCGAAGGCGGAGACCTTTGATTTTGTGATTGTGGCGACCGGTCATCACTGGAAGCCACGGCTGCCTGAGTTCGAGGGAATGGAAAAGTTCAAGGGTGGAATGATGCATTCTCATTCCTACCGAGTGTATGTATATTCACCTCAGCTCTTGGCTATACTAGTTATCGACCTAACCGAATTCTATAGACCTTACCCTTTCAAAGATTCGAGGGTCTTGATCGTCGGTGTCGGCAACTCGGGTATGGACTTGGCAGCTGAGCTGTCGTACCATGCAAAGCAAGTCATGCTGTCAACCCGCTCCGGCACTTGGGTTCTGCCTCGCTTCACATTGTTCGGCTTGCCCACTGACCATCTGTCGTCGCGTGCGGCTTCGGCGCTTCCCCGGCCAATCTACAACTTTGCCGTGGAGACGATCATGAGGTTGCAAAATGGAAACCTGGAAAAGTTTGGTTTGAAACCAGGACATAACCTCCTGGATGCCCACCCGACTATCAACTCTGAGGTTCTTGACCGGATTGGCGCCGGCAAGATTATTGTCCGGCCCAACATTTCAAAGTTCCTGTCGGCTTCAAAGGTGGAATTTGAGGATGGCATGACCGAGGACGTTGACCATGTGATCTACTGTACGGGCTATCGCATCGAGCATCCTTTCCTTGATTCCAAGGCCATTCTCGGCCAGGACCCTGAGGCCTCGTCCAAGGCGTCCTCGGGCGACCCCGCCACCGTCACCACCAACCGCGTCCGCCTTTACAAGAATGTGTTCCCGCTGAATCACCGCAACATTGCGTTCGTCGGTCTCGTGCAGCCCACCGGCGCCATCATGCCGGTCGCGGAGATGCAGGCACGATGGGTAGCACGCGTGTTTGCGGAGGAGGGGCCAGGACTACCGAGCACTGAAGAGATGACGGCGGCGGTCGAGAAGGCGCTGGCTGACACCACCTTCATCTCCCGAGACCGCCACACGATCCAAGTGGACTATGTGAGCTACATGGACGAGTTGGCGGAGTGTCTGGGGTGCAAGCCGGATCTGTGGAAGCTGTGGAGGCACCAGTGGCTGCTGGCGGCGCAGGTGACGTTCGGGCCCGCTGTGCCGTTCCAGTACCGTCTGGAAGGACCGGGCAAGTGGGAAGGTGCCGAGGAGGCGATTGGGAACGCATGCGCGGGTTACGATTTCCGAAAGATGGTGGGTCATCATTTGATTCGGACTCTTGTTTTGACCAAAATTCCCCACATGAACAGGTCGGTTATCAGGCTGTTGCCAAGTTGCGTGAAGATGCCCCGAAAAACGACAACGAAAGCTAACGGATTCGATTTTACGGATTTAAACTGCCCCTGTTCCTTTTTCTTGTTTGGATCTGCAGCCTTGTCGGCTCTACTTTTTACAGTACGGGTTTGAGCATTGCATGAAAGCATTAAATATATATTTTAAGCCATGTCATTGAACAGTGATTTGCGTCAGACCTCTGCCTGTGCTTCAGACCTCCCCAACGTGGAGTTTGTACAGTATGCATGCCAACTGGATGCCGTAATTTTTTTGTTTTTTGTTTAACAATGAAGGCCCTATGATCATCAGCTAACAGAGAAAACAAGCTAAGCACCTGTGTCTGCTCGTAACACGAGTCGCACACTTTCGTTTGGATGCCGTCGGGCATGTAGCTGTAGTCAACGACCGACAGCTTCGCGGTCTTGGACAGATGTTTCGAACAAAATACCTCACCGCATCTGAAGATGGTTTAGTACCGTGGCCAAGAACAATACTTGCCTTCTACAATGGTGACGTCGGTTCAGCAGTGAAAACTTGGATTCGCAGGTGTGCTCTGCACACATGGGCCGCTCGCGATCGGGGACCCAGTGTGACCGCTCAAAAAAGTCCTTGTCGCCTAACAAAAGAGCGTAAGGATCGATATAGAGAGATGAAGAAAACGCTACCTGTTGGCAAAAGGCTCCAACTGCTCCTCCTCTTCACAAGCTTCACCATCTTCGTCTCCAATCCAATCAGGGACCGACGCTGTGCATTCACAATTTCCTCCTTCTCCTGCGCCTCCGCCTGAAGCTCCCTCGCCCTCTCCTCGACACTGTACGCCGACACCAACTTCTCCTCCAGCAGCTCCCGCAGCCTCTCGACCTCGCCCAACGCATTCGAGAGTTGCCGCTCACGTTCTTGAACAAGACCGTTGGCATGGAACAGGCGGGAGGTTTGAGCTTCGAGCTCGGTGCGGAGCCGGTGCTCCTGGGCCCCGAGGGCCTCGCATTTTGCAGTCAGCGAGGCAACGGTGGCCTCGAGGGACCGGAGGGTTTCCGCTGAGCCGAGACGGTTTTCGGCGGATGCCACCACCGATTCAACGACAATGGGGCTGGGATTTGCGATGCTGGTTTCGGTCGAGTGGGTCTGGACGCCGAGGAGGCCGCCACGGGCACCGTTGTCGTTGCTTTGTGGCATCATTGCGTTTTCGGCGGGAGACGCTATGGCATCCATGGCGTCATGGCCGTCGCCCCCCACCGATGCAATGATCTTGTGGGCACGTGAGTCGTCCTCTGCTTTGCTCTGTAGAGCATGATCAGTTAACACTGAGGTGAGAGAATACCTTGTCAAGGGACGGCGAGGTCTCGTACTCCATGAGTTTCCGCCGCAACACCGTTACGAGGTTTGTAGCAACTTTACAGCGGGCGGTCTCCGCTTCAAGCGACTGCTCGAGGCGGCGGTTTTGCTCCTCCAGCTCGGTCATGGCTGCCTTGAGGGTCGCCAGCGATGTCGACTTCTTCTTTCCGCCCATGGTTGTCTTTTGGTGTGGAAAAGTTTTTGCTAGTTTGTGACGTTGTGACTTGTGACTTGATCAGGTGGTGGCTGCTGCGCAAGGCATCAGATTAATGGCATCAACGAACATTTGCATTCGCGAGCAACAAGCTGGTGGTAACCTCATTCGACCTTGCAACTCTCCTATTGATCGCCACTCTACCAGCGCGCTACAGAGCTCCTGGGCCAAACCTGGCGAACAGTGTCAGGGTGCATGTCGTCAAGTGTGACCAACATATGCTTTCCATATGGTAGGTCTTGATGATCAACAAGGTACTGTTTCTTGTGTTATTATGCTCTTAGATCCTAGTGTTTGAATTGTTTTCTATGGTTTTTTCTTGTCCAGTTCGACGCAAGGGCCTTTTTCTTTACGGAGGAAATGAGCATGACAACATCACATTTGAAGATCTCGACCACGCGCCGATATGCATTGTCACAGCAGGCCCCATAATCGGTCTTTAATCGAAAAGAGGATCTCTTCAGGTTGGTCCAAGCATGAATGGAAGTCAGGCGGATTGAGAACAAGGAGAGAGTTTCGCGCAGGCGAGAGTTCCGGAGGAAACGGGCGGCGGTCTGGAAGTATTCTCCATCGGGACGCGTTTGGACCATGGAGAACTCTGCACGGATCCGGACCCCTCACGGAAAAGGGTGACGACATTGATCAAAGGGATGGATGGCGGCGGACGTTTGCATCAGTTCCCGTCGATGCATTTTCGGTTCTTGACCGATTCACAACGCCGCAAATAGGGGTGTGGACCACGGGAAGCAGGATTCATGGTGCCACTTCGGGACCCGTTTTCAAAGACCGGTTTTTTCCACTTACAAATGCTTGAAAGCCGTTCCTCCGCACCCAAATACATGCCTTTGGAACAGCAAACCTTTGCAAAGAACGAACCCGCGGCTACTAACTTGCAATGGGCACTGCATTTGATTTATGATGGGGGTCTGTTCATGGCGGCTCGTGCTGGGAGCTCTTGTCACTTCGTGCAATATAATGCACCAAATGGCTTCCAGCTCACTGTGGTGGCTACAGATGGAGTCTAATCTTCTGTTTCGACTTCTCGACCACCTCACCCACCGTGGCGTTTCCAGTAGCGGTCGTGGGGGGGGAGCGACTAGATGAAGGCTCGAGATGTTGTAGATTTTGCCGATGTGGCAAGAAAAGCCTCACGGCATGATTGTTCAAAGCGGCCGGCCGTCAACGTCGCTGGAGGATCATCTTCGCGGAAAACTGATGAGCAGAAAGAAGTGAGGACGGTTGGGTGGGTGACTGACTCATGGGAAAAAAATTTTGGGGAAGGCTGTGGACTGCAAAAAAAAGAAGCATTCTCCCGGTGGGAGTCGAACCCACGACCCTTGACTAGCATGCAGGCGCGGAGCCCCCATAAGATCAATGCTACTACCAACTGAGCTACGGGAGATAGTTGTGAGAAAAGGACAAAAATTATATATTATTATGTTGCCGCTCGCTTATCCTCCACCCAGAAAAAACTTCATTCTCTTCCCATCTGCTGCCACATAGAAGATCAGAAAGCACAGCAACCACCGATCTATCCATCGCTGGTTGAAAGAAAGAGACTTTGGGAGGTTATCAAGCACTTAGCTCAGTTTGCCAGGCCTCGATCCAGAGGGGACCATTGAGGTTGATCCTCAGACTAGCAGCACGTGGGGTGCAGCGGCCCTCAGATCCACTCCAGAGAGGCAGAGAGGACGTTGAGGCCAGGATCTGAAAGGAGATCGATTGAGACAGATCTAGCGCAGGTGAGAGAGTGAAGGTGCTCCACCGAGGACGACGGCTCACCTGGAGGAGGAATGGGCCACATTTCAACATTCGGTGTAACCCTGCAAATTTTGCTCCTTGTTCCAGAAATACTACTTTTTTGTTGTCACCTCATCTCCAGCGAGCGTCACATCACACATGTATATTATATACTCCACCTCAAAACATGCTCATCCACCCACCTCCGCAAACGGGGACGCTTCCACAAACGCCGCCTTGGCCCCCGTCCCCGTCGTCGGCGCCAACCCCGTGGCA